GTGTGTGTGTGTGTGTGTGTGTGTGTGTGTGTGTGTGTGTGTGTGTGTGATATCTCCTGGCCTTTCCCTTCTTATAAAAAGGAAACATTCCATACAGTGTTTTGTACCTTGATTTTCCCCCCTTATATTTACTGGGGAAAATTATCTCTATGAATACCTAGAGATATGCTTATTTTTTAATGGTCACATGATTCTTTATTATGTGGATAGCCCATAGTTTATTCCACCAGTTCCCTATTGATGGTCATTTGTGTCATTTCTAGTCATTTGCTGTTATAAATAACGCCACATTAAAGAGTCTTACACGTGTCTTTTACTGTCTCTGTGTCTTTGAGATAAAGTCCTAGAAGTGATATCGATGGAGAAAAAAGTAAAAGATTTTGCAGTTTTTCTTGATGGTGACAAATTTCCTTCTGCAGGAGTTGTACCCCAGCTGGGTATGAGAGTGCCTTTCCAGACAGACTTTTCAATAAAGGATTTTTCTTGATCTGATAGATAAGAAATAGTATCAGTAGAGTTGCAGTCTGCATCTGTGTTACTAGAATAATATCACCAGGGAGTCTACCAAGGACATTGTCCTTGGATTGTTGTTGGTAGAAACCAGAAAACCAGAATGTACTGTGTTGAGTGAGCAATAGGGGAGAAAATGAGATAAAGTGAAAAAAAACTTTGGCTGATGAGGGAGAGAGACTGGGTGGTAACTGGAAAGAAAACTGCTCTTAGGATAGATTTATTTCACTACCAAAAATACTGCATTGAGGGACTTCCGTGGTGGCACAGTCGTTAAGAATCCACCTGCCAATGCAGGGGACACAGGTTCAAGCCCTGGTTTGAGATGCAGGATCATCTACTAAAAGTGAGGATGTATTCATTATCTATTGCTACATGAAAAATTATCCCAAACCTTAGTCACTCAAAACAAACACAGGAGGGATTGTAGCAACCATCTGGTTTTAAGGTGGATGGAACGGTACCCACCATTGTGGGCAGAGGCAGACGCATTTTGCCATCACATGATCCTGAGCTCATCCCCTGCTAAGCAAAATAAAGGCCCAATATTAAAATATAGTACAGTTTGAAGGAGGACATGACAGACAGGCTAAGAAAGATTCATCCTCAGTAAACTGGAGAGGAAGAGAGGATGTGAAGACTTCATATTTTCCCGTTTATTCCAGAGCCCTGTCCTGAGTGCACTGTGGGGATAAGAGGAGGATCGTTCTTGTTCTGCTCCCTGTTGTTCAGGAAAACTTACTGTCTGAATCACAGGATGGCGACCATGGTTGTATCCCCCACTTGTGGTGAGTTGTGGGATCCTCACAGCCCAGGCGTTTAAGGCCCCTGCACCACAGAGCACATGCAGGGGAAGGGGCTGAGCAGGTGAGGTAGGAGTGGAGACTCAGGAGCCCTGAGGTCTCTGCTACCTGATTATGTGGTTCAGGGCTTTGGGACTTTGTGGTGATTTGAGTGTCTGTGGAGATGTCACCTTGGTGGTGAATATGCAGAAGCTTTTGAATTGTACCTCTGATTCTTTTTATAAACTTGATAAAATAACAGTGATATCCCTCGAACTTCAGTTTCTTCATCTGTGAAATGGGAATGATAATCTCTTCCTTGAGTGCATTAAGATGCTTGACCCTCTCTTCTGGCTGTGGGTGAGGCAGGGCTGTGCTCTGGTTTCTTACGAAAGCTCTGTGTGTGTGTGTGTTTGTGTGTATGTGTTGGGGATACAGTCAGTCACAAGTAGGTGGGGGAGCCTCCAGATTTGTGAGTGTGAGAACAGGGGGCAAGCCTGGATTCTTGGGACGTTTCTTCTTCTCCAGCTCAGTCTTCCCTATACCCAGCCTCTCACCAGAAAGGATGCACAGAGGAGGAAGGGTTGGCTAATGGCTTCCTGACAAACTGGTTACAGGTGAGTCAGATATTCCTGTTTTGAAATCATTATTCCTTTGACCAGAAGTTGGACTTGTTATCCTTCAATGACCTGCAGCATCAGAGCCAAATCAGGTCTTCAGGCATCTGATGGAGGGTTTGGGGCAACCCAAACAGTGTTAGCATATGTCAGCATTTACTGCAATGTAGAGCTTCCTCCAGGGTCACTGTCTACACCATGTTCTGCTGAGAGTTTTGGAGCAAAGACTTGACTGTGTCCTAAACTCAAGAAATTGATGATGACCATTGAGAAATCATTCATTTATCAAGTGTTTCTCTGATTTTGACAGTATCCCAGGCCTATGCTCAAACTTGAAGATTGGGGGAAATAAGATTGCAGGAGCTCACACATTTTTTTTCTCAAAGGAAATGAAAATCACCTGCATGTTAGAGATGCATTGAACCTCGGGAGTGGGCATAAGTAGACAGGAGATGAGCGTTGAGGGCTGAGCTGAGAAGCAAATGAGAGCAGAGCTTAGAACCCAGTCTACACAACTTGTGCTTTGGGTTTCTCATCCCTAGTTCTGTCATCCTCGACCCTTTTCCTCTCAACTTTGGTGAAGGTGGTCCTTGGCTAGCCATGATGTTAGTGATGGTTTAGGACTTTGTGACCTTCAAGGATGTGGCCATACAGTTTACCCAGGAAGAGTGGGCACTGTTGGACCCTTCTCACAGAACACTGTATAGAGATGTGGTGCTGGAGAACTGCAGGAACTTGGCATCACTCGGTAAGCCTAACATCATTCCTGCATTTATTTAATGACTCAGGTAACAAGACTTTAAAAAAAATTCATATAACATTAACAGATGTTATGTTATTACAGATCAGAAAAATTCACCATTTTACTATTTTTAAATGTACAATTCAATGACTTTTAGTAATGTCACAGTGTTGGGCAACCATCACTACTATCTAATTCCAGAACATTTTTATCACACCAAAAATAAACCCCATTATCATCGTCCCTAGCCCCAGCCACTGGCCACCATTTATCTACTCTCTGTCCCTATGGATTTTCCTTTTCTAGTCATTGCATCTAAATGGAATCATATAATAAATGGCCTTTGTGTGTGGCTTCTTTTGCTTAGCATAATGTTTTCAAGGTTCAGCCATCCTGTAGCATGGATTCATTCCTTGTTTTATGGTTGAATATTATTCTGTTGTGTATATCTAAACCACTTTTTGAGTATCCACTTATCAGCTGATGGACATCTGAGTTGTCTCTACCTTTTGGATATTGTGAATAGGGCTGCTGCAAACATTCACGTATAAATTTTCGCTTGAATACTTGTTTTCAGTTCTCTTGAGCGTATACCTAGGAATGGAATTGCTGAATCATATGGTCATTCTGTTAACTTTTTGAGGACCCTCCAAACTGTTCTCCATAGTAGCTGCACCATTTACATTCCCACAACAATATATGGAAGTTTCAGTTCTCCACATCCTCACCAACACTTGTTTATTTTTCTTTTCTCTTCTTTCTTTCCTTTTTTTTTTTTTTACTATAGTCATCCTTGTATGTGCAAAGTAGTTATCTATCTCATTGTTGGTTTTATTTTTATTTCTTTAGAGAACAATGAGATCAATCATCTTTTCATATACTTGTTTGTCATTTGTATATCTTCTTTGGAGAAATATTTATTCAAGTCCTTTGCCCATTTTGGGAGGGATGGACTGATTTGTCTTTTTGTTGCTGAGTTGTAAGAGTTCTTTATATATTCTGAATGCTGGACCCTTGTCAAATATATGGTCCACAAATATTTTTTCAGTTCTGTGGATTGTCTTTTCATTTTCTTGAAGGATAGTTTTGCCAGAGATAGAGTTCTTGTGTGACAGGTTTTTTTGTTTTGCTTTCAGTACTTTGAATATGTCACTCTGCTGCCTTATGGCCTTCATGATTTCTGATGAGAAATCAGCTGTTAATCTTATTGATTATCCCTTATACATGAAGAGTTTCTTCTCTCTAGCTGCTTTCAGGATACTCTTTTTGTCTTTGTCTTTCAACAGTTTGATTATTATGTGTCTCGGTGTGGATCTCTTTGAGTTTATCCTGTTTGGAGTTTCTTAAGTTTCTTAGATATGTAGATTCATGACTTTCATAAATTGGGGAATTTTGGGGGCCGTTATTTTTTTCAAATACTGTTCCTTCCCCTTTCTCTGTCTCCTCTGTCTCTCCTGCATAAAAGGAATCCCATTATGCATATATTGGATGTCTGATGGTATCCCAAAGGTTTCTTATGCTCTGTTGTTTTTTCTTTTTTTTTTTTTGTCATCTTCAGATTTGGTAGTATCAATTGATCTATCTTCAGGTTCATTGATTCTTTCTCCTGCCAGATCAAGTCTGCTAATGAACTGCTCTACTGAATTTTCATTTCAGTTGTTGTACTTGTCAACTCCCAAATTTCTATTTGGTTCCTTTTTATAATTTCTCTCTCTTTGTGATGGTCTATATTTGGTGAGAATTCAGTTTCCTTTAGTTCTTTGAATGTGGTTTCCTTTAACTCTTTGAGCATACTAGAAATAGCTGATCTGAAGTCTTTGTCTACTAAGTTCCTTCCTAGGGGACAGTTTCTATTAATTTTCTTTTCCTGTAATGGGCCATGCATTTTTTGTTTCTTTGCATGCCGCATAATTATTTTATTGAAAACTGTACATTTGGAATATTATAATATGGCAATTCCATAAATCAAAGATTCCCCCATCCCAAGGCTTGTTGTTACTTGTTGCTGTTGGTGTTGTTTGGTGACATTTCTGAACCAATTTTGTAATGTCTGTGTTTGTTGTGTGTGGCCACTGAAATCTCTATTCTGTTAGCTTAATGGTCAGCTAGTGATTTTTCATAGATTCCCTTAAACCCCTGGAATCCCCAAACTCTCAGTCTTTTTAGATGGTCTAAGATGTGTGTATGTAGGACCATGCCTTCAAAACAGGCAGTTTACAACTCTGCTTTAGCCTTTACTTCTTGCTTGTGCAGAGCCTGAAGGTCAATCAGAGGTGAGGTCTTAGTGCCTTCTCAGGTCTTTCCTGAACATGTACCCAACTGTACCCAGCTGTGGCTATGTGCATGGCCTTCTATGTTCCTAGGAATATGTGAGAGCTTTTCAAAGCCCTTTTTCCCCAAAGCATCTAATTCCCTACTTTTGCTCCCAGACCTTTTGGTTAGTCTTACATTTGCTTCAATGATTTTCCCTTGCCCCAGGCAGCAGTGGCTGATACATTTAAATGTGTTCAGCCCATGCTCTGGTCCTCCATTCCCTGTTGCCACCTCAGCCATGGGAGAGTTTGAAGTTAGACAAAATAAAAGCAAACCCTTTGAGCCAATCCTTCAGGAGCCACCAGATAAGTCAAAACAAACAACCACAATTCTTTGAGCACAAGATCCATTCTGCTCTCACCAATAGTAGGAACGCAGACTGTTGATTTCAGTGTGGCTGCCAAAGTGAGGAGCAGGTGATGAGGCCAGGGTTAGTGAAAATGTCACAAAGCTCTCTTACCAGATTCACCTTTTGGTCTTGATTAAGTATTTTCCTAATTGCTGTAAACTTATGATAACTTTCAAGACTTTCAATAAAGTTGATGCTGACAGTTTTTGCCAGTTTATTTGCTGTTTTTCTGTGGTGTATTGGACTCTGGGGGTTCCCTGCTCCACCATTTTTACTGACATCACTTCTCACAAGTCTTTTTTTTAATTCTTTTTTTATTGAAGTATAGCTGATTTACAGTGTTATGTTAATTACTGCTGTTGAGCAAAGTGATTCAGTTATACACATATATACATTCTTTTTATATATATATATTCGTTTCCATTATGATTTATCATAGGATATTGAATATAGTTCTCTCTGCTGTACAGTAGGACCTTGTTGTTTATCCATTCTATATATAAAAGCTTACATCTGCTAACCCCAACCTCCCACTCCATCCCTCCCCCATCCCCATCCCCCTTGGCAGCCACCAGTCTGTTCTCTATGTCCATGATTCTGTTTCTGTTTCATAGATAGGTTCATTTCACAAGTCTTTTCTTAAGCACCTCTATGTACATAGGTCTGTGCTAGGAATTAGGAATACAGTGGTGAATGAGACAGATATGGTCCCTACCCTCATGGGTAATCTAATCTCTTCCCTATGAACTGAAGATCTGTTCCATGCCCTGACTATGGATAAAAGTTTTGGGGCTTTTAAGTCTGCATTTGAATTTGTGCATGAGCTTCTGGAATCAGTTATCCCCAAATCACCCTAGATATATTGACTGAGGACACTTGCATTTTTTTTTCATGAAAGATAAGTGGTTACTATATTATTCAAATTTAGGGATAAATATTCCATTGCTCCTGCTGCTCATCTTCAGAAGTGTTGGCTTCAGTTTCACTGTTTTCCCCTGCATAGTCTCCCTATATCATGTGTGCTTTCTCCATATATTGGTAATCAAATTGATAAACCCAGTCAGATCTCCAAATTGGAGCAAGAAGATAAAGTGATGACAGAGGAGAGAGGAATTACCCCAGACACCTGTCCAGGTGAGTACAAGGTAGATATGACTCCTTATGAGGATATCTCCCGTGGCTTGGGAGTTTAGTATTACATTAGGAAATGTCCTGGGAAACACTGTAAAATGCCCTTTTTTTCTGACAAGGCCAAGACCATTTGGTATGAGCTTCCTTGTGTACTTTCTTTTCCTTTCTCTTTAACTTTCTGTTCATCATCTCACACCTTATTTTGGCTTCAGATGAATACCTAAAACTTCATACCCATGTCCCTCTTATTGCAAACCTCCTAAAAAACCCTAATCCCCTAGTGAAGGGTCTGCCTTCACTAATATATGCTTTATACCTTTTCTTTTCTCATCAACTTAAATTTATTTTCAATTTTTTTCAGATTTGGAGGTTCTACTTAAAGCCAAAGGGTTAACCTCTAAGCAGCATGTTTTTAGAAAAGAGCAATCTAAAGGTATCACAATAGTAAGAATTCTGATTTTCCACAGTGGAAAAATGCCATAAATTAGAAAAGCCACAAAGTTACCAAGAGAGTCATTTTCCCAAGAGAAAATGTTACCTCTGGAGAGATACCATGAAACTGTTGTGAATCTGGAGTAAAGTGTAAGTTATCTCCAAAATTATTTTTTCTTTGAGCATTCCTACAAGTAATTGTTTGCATAAATGTGACTCAGATATTGAGTGTTTCAAACATAAATTGGTCTTAAACTTATCAGAAAATGCTCTGTGAATAGGATAAAGGCTTTGATGTGGCAAAACATCTATCTTTTTTAGCTTCTAAGAACTCAGACTAGCAGAAACCATATACAAGCACTCAGTGTAGCAAACACACAAATTATAATAATTTTATATATAACAGAGTCCCTGGGAGGGAGAATTCCTATGATAGCATTGAATATTAAAAGTATGGTAAATTATAGTTGTCATTCATCTCATAATCAACAGGAGAAACGTCTTCTTGGAGTGAAACTCAAGGAATGTAATCAGTGTTTTAAAGTCTTCAGCATAAAATTAAACCTTACTCAGCAGAAGACAATTCATACTGGAGAAGAGCCCTATCATTGTAATCAATGTGGCAAATCCTTCAGCAGCAGATCCTACCTCACTGTTCATAAGAGGATACATAATGGGGAAAAACCCTATGGATGCAACGACTGTGGGAAAACCTTCAATAATCCCTCAGACTGCATGTGAGAACTCACACTGGAGAAAACCCCTATTCATGTAACCAGTGTTTTCATGTTTTCCGCACCAGATGTATCCTCAAAAGGCACAAGAGAATTCATACAAGGGAGAATCATTATGAATGTAATCAGTGTGGAAAGCCTTCAGCATGAGGTCCTCCCTTACTGGGTACAATAGGATCCATATGGGGGAGAAATTTATGAATGCAGTGATTGTGGGAAAACTTTTAGGAAGAGCTCACATCTGACGCAGCATGTGAGAACTCATACTGGAGAAAAACCCTGTGAATTTAATGATTGTGGAAAATCCTGCAGCAGTAGCTTTTCTCTTACCGTGCACAAGAGAACACATAATAGAGAGAAACCCTATAAATATAGTGACTGTGGGAAAACCTTTAATAATCTCTCATCTGTTAAGAAACACATGAGAACTCGCACTGGAGAAAAACCCTATGGATGTAATCATTGTGGGAAATCTTTCAGTAGTAACTCCTACCTTTCTGTGCACAAGAGAATCCATAATAGGTAGATATGAATGCAGTGGCTCTGGGAAAGCGTTTGCTGACCTCTTATTCCTCAGACATCTTGGGAACTCTTGCTGGATGTGTAAATTATCTGTTGTGTAACAAATGAGCCCCCAAACTCATTGGTTTAAAACAACAGACATAATCTCACAATTTATGTAGGCCAGAAGTTCAGAAACAGATTAGCTATGTAGCTCTAGCTCAGGCTCCCTCATGAAGTTGCAGTCAAGATGCAGCCAGGGGACTTCCCTGGTGGCACAGTGGTTAAGAATCCTCCTGCCAATGCAGGGGATGTGGGTTTGATCCCTGGTCCAGGACAATCCTACATGCCGCGGAGCAACTAAGCCTGCACGCCACAACTACTGAAGCCCACGTGCCTAGAGCCTGTGCTCCACAACAAGAGAAGCCACCACAATGAGAAGCCCGCACACCACAACAAAGAGTAGTCTCTGCTCGCCACAACTAGAGAAAGCCCGCACGTATCAATGAAGACCCAACACAGCCATAAATAAATAAACAAACAAAAAGATACAGCCAGAACTAGAGAAAGCCCGCATGCATCAATGAAGACCCAACACAGCCATAAATAAATAAAACAAATAAAAAGATGCAGCCAGATGGAGGTCAGCAGGAAACATAAAACATGAGTAAATATAAATAAATATTGACCATATAAAACAACCCTGTGTGGTTTTATAACTTCTTTGGAAATCTAAAATTTTTTAAAAGAATGTTCTAAAAACTCATTGAACCGACCCCCCAAAACTAGGGGTGTTGGAGGAGACACAGCAAGTGACCCCCCAGCTCACCCTCTAAGACTAGAGCTTATAGGAAGCCCACAAGGTGATGCTCAAAGTCTGCATCCAACTCTGGAGCTGACAGAAGCCCTATGAAGTGACCACCCATCCCCTCCCAACACTAGAGGCAACAGGATCTCAGGTAGCAATCCCCCAGTCAACCCAAGCACAAAAGACAGGGTCCTAACAAGCAACACCTCTATTCCTTCAAAATGAGAGATGTTGGGAATTCCAACAAGCACCCCCTAGTCACTTCAAATTCTAGAAATGACAACAGCCCCAGAAGGGACTCCTTCAGCTTCCTGCATCACTAGAGAATGGGCAACTCACTCCAGTAACCCACCCAACCTATACCAACAATACAGACAAGGGGAGTCCCAGAGAGTGACTCTTTCAGCCCCCCAACCAGAGATAAGTGGAGCCCCATCTAATGCCCCCAAACCTGTCCCCAAACTAGAGACAAGAGAATCTCCAGCCAGTAACTGTGTCAAGTCCACCCAACACTAGAAAAGATAAGAGCACCAAGCAATAACCACCTCCCCCCCCCCAGATCTCCAGACCAGAAATGGCAGGAGCCTCAGCCTATGACACCCCACCCCCACTTATCCCAACATTAGAGACAGAAGAACTTCATCAAATGATCCATATCCATCCAAAGTAAATGATGATGGAAACCCCCAAAAGGAACAACCAACCCCCTACACACCAAAGAAAAAAGGACACCCAGGAAACACCACACCATCCTCACGCAACTCACACCCCAGCCTGCTTCTCTTGTCTTCCCAAGACAAGATATGAGTATCCCCAGCAATGATCAGAATCTCAACAAGTGTTCAAGAGGCAACCCACCAGGTTCTCCAACCTAAGTGACAAACAGAGTCCCAGAATACTTCCTCTCTTTGTCCCAAAATAAGAATTGGTAGAAACACCAGCAACCAACACCCTCAACCAAACAAGAAGCCACAAGTTAAAAAGTAATAAATTTGTGTTCATTAAAACAAACCAAAAAGACCCCACATGGCAAAGACAAAAGACAGAGGGAAATGCAACTCATCACAAAGGCTAATTTATTAATATTAAAGAACTCCTACCAAGCAATAAGAAAAAGACCAAGAATCCATGAGAGAAAAGGGCAAATTTTAAGAACACACAGTTCACCAAAAAATTCAAATGGCTCTCGTAAAAAGAAAACTATAAAGTGAAACACCAAAATTCCTTTCATCATTTATCAATGAGAATTTTTTTTAAGTTTAATAAGATCATGTAATGGCCAAGATGTGGGGAAAATGGCAATCACATACCATAATGAGGGGGAAGTGAATTAATCCAGTTCCCCTCCACATGGACCTTTCCCTGGGGCTGCTTGAGTATCTTCATGGTATGGTGGATGGCTTCGAGAAAGGCAGCAACTTAAGAGACCAAAGAGTAAGCTTCAGTGTTGTAATAGGGAAGAACCTTTGTATTCTATTACAAAGGGATGTTGCCTATAAGCTTAAATTATACATAATGGCCCATCTCTGGGAACCCTGCTTCCCAGGTGAAGAGCACGAAGCTAAACTATTATACCTCTTTTTTTAGCTCACAGGAAACCTCCTGACCAGTCCCACCTGTGAATGGCTGGAGGAAGGAAGAAATTAACACATCCCCTCAAGAATCTGGCCAGAACCAAGAAATATTGATATTTGCAACAACTTACTGCCTTTTTTACTTTACCTCCTCACCTCCCACTCTTTGTTCTATAAAACAAACTAGCATCCAAACCTGGGCAAGATGGTTCTTTGGGACCTAGTCCACCATCTTCTCGGTCTGCTGGCTTTCTGAATAAAGTCGCTATTCCTTGACCCAACAACTCATCTCTCGATATTTTGGCCTGCCGTGCAGCGAGCAGTACGAGCTTGGACTCGGTAACACAAGAAATGAGCCAGGGGAATAACTACCCCACCCTCCCTCTCCCCACTCTCCACCCTTCCAGGTCTCCACCTTGACAATGAAGAGCAATGTTACTGTCAGAACCCACTGAAGCCAGAGGGCAAGGGTGCCTGTTGCAGTCCACATAGGTCGGCCTTTGTGGGCAGAGAACATGGTGAAATAGCATGGAGAGTGGTCCTGGAGAGGGACGAACAGAAGCCATCAGCTTAGCATTTGATCCAAATCCAAACTCCCTTCCTGATAAACAGTGAATAAAATAGGAATTTGCACTACTTCCCCAATGTGATAGAAAAGCATATAAATTCACACTTCAATCACCAGGCATTGTGCTAAGGGCTTTCAGGTATTAACTCATTTAACCCTCTCAGCATCCCTATAAGGAAGATATCATTATCCCTGTTTTCAGCCGTCATGCGCTGTTCAGATCTCCCTTTTTGAGAACCTGTCATGGGGATACAATAACTTGACCACCTCCAGCTGCTGCACCTTCAGACTTGCTTCAGGGTTCACACCAAAGCCACGTTGTCCCTGGTCTGCTCCCAACTAATACCTGAGCCTGATGGATGGGAGGACCAGAGCCAGGTCATTTCTGCCCAATGCAGGACCCCTCTGACAGGCACTCTTTGCCCTGGGGCACCCCATTGGCCTTACAGAGACTTTCTCAGCACTGGGCTGAGAGCTCCTTTGCCCATTTATCCACACATCTGGGTCTGTTTTCGTGTCTGCTTTTCAGAGAACCTGAGTTATGATGCAATTTTTCAGATGAGGAAACTGAGACAGGGAGGCACAGAGGGATTAAATGACTTGCCCAAGGTCACGCAGCTCCTAAGAGATTAAAAATCTGACAATCTCACTCCAGAATCAGTACTCTTAAGCATTCTGCTACGAGAGACAGAGAGAGAAAGAGAAAGAGAGAGAGAAACAGAAGAGAAGCAAAACATCTGAAAGGATCCTTATCATCATGATTTTGTAATCTCTCTAGCCCATTTGAATTAGAATTTTCTGCTACTTTGATCCATTTTTCCAAAGGCTAAAAACAAAAACACCTGTAGAACCCCCTTCTTTTTAATTCCCAAATATGCCCTGAAGATGGCAGTGTTTCACCACTCTAAACCCACAAACCAAAATGTTTCTAGAACCAAGGGTAGTAACCAGTGAGGCAATACTTTGTTTTGTAAACTGTAGACACTGATTGTAGAGTACACATTGGTTAACTAATCCAGAAAGGAGTTTCTTTTTCTTTCAGCATATGTATCAACAAATCAGAGGACCCAAACCCAAAATAGCAACAAAGTAAAAGCAAGAAATGGGAATGCTCTCTATAGTCATCAGTATGAGAGACGTTAATTCACATTTGTTTTGGTAACAGGTGGTCCCCATGGACATGGGGTGACTAAAAAGAAACTGGGATCCTAGTATGGTGTCAAACAGCCTGGTTACAATGTATGAGAAGCATCTACATTTCAGGCTCATTTCTTTGTTCACAACCCAAATAACAGAGCAAAAACAGTTAATGATTGCAGTGAACTGTCTGTTGGCGCTGGCCAGCAGAATCATCTTTTCATCTCTTTGTGGCTTCAAGCTCTTGTTAAAATGCCTCCCCTGATGACTAACTAAAATGCCTCGCCTGATGACCATCCTCTGAAACCCACCATCACCAATTAGACATTTAAGTCAATTAGCGCTTGATTTCTCTCATCCTCCCATTAAGAACCATAAATCGATCTTCTAGAATCCAACTACAAAATGATTCACTCAGAACAAGGGAAGTTTCTTAAACATGATAGCCATGACATTTGTGAAAATCATGATCACTTGCCCAACAGTCACTGTTTCTGTGGTCATCTTATTTAAAACGGAAACCCCTCAGCCCCCCTGTGACGGACTGAATGTCTGTGTCCCCCCAGAATTCATATGTTGAAGCCCTAACCCCCAGTGTGGCTGTATTTGGAGATGGTGCTTCTAAGGAAGTAATTAAAGTTAAATGAAGTCAGCAGGGGCCAAATCCAGTAGGATTTGTTTCCTTATAAGAGGAGACACAAGATAGCTCACTCTCTTTCCCACTGAAAGGCCATGTGAGGATGCAACAAGAAAGCAGCCGTCTGCAAGCCAGAAAGAAAGCTCTCCCCAGGATCTGAATCAGCCAGCATCTGGATCTGGGACCTTCAGCCTCCAACACTGTGAGAAAAAAGATTTCTGTGGTTTAAACCACCCAGTCTGTGGTATTTTGTTACGGCAGCCCTAGCAAACTAATACACTCCATACCCACTTTCTCTGTATTTTCCTCCTAGAACAGATCACTTCTAACATACTGTATATAACTTTCTTATTTCTGTTTTCATAGTCAGAAATGTACAAACTGAGGTGCCTACAATTGAAAAGAAAAATAAAAGCTGAAAACAAATGAGACCAATATCCAGCTTAAGAAATTATAAACAGAACAACACAATAAACAAGTAGAATGAGGGCAATAATAAAGACGACAAAGCAAAAAATTTAAAACAGAGATACAGGGAGGGATAAATTAGGAGTTTGGGATTAACATATACACACCACTATATATAAAATAGGTAGACAACAAGGACCTACTGTAGAGCACAGTGGAA